CACCTCAGATCAGCAATAGTCATCATGAATATGCAAAATAAAATTAGACCAATCAGCTAACAGATTCGTCACGAATAGGTAAAGACAACACCCTTTGCACGCTTTCTTGGGCTACAACTTTGCATTTCCTTTGTTTATATGGACCCAACGTGAACCTGTATACACTACTGAACAAACAAAAAGGTAATTTTTCAAATATAATTAAGCTTTTTTTACAGTTCTTGGATGCCTATCTCTCCGGCTCATTTTGAAACTGAATTTAGTAGCGTTCATTTTAACATTCAAAGATACAAAAGTTGATTCATGGTTACCATCATTTTTTCTATCCCATGATCCATTCATCCTCATGCCACACCAAAAACACCGTAAGGCCCAGAACAACTTAAGTTAACGAAAAGTGGCAAAAAACGTAAGGTTGTCTAAGTCATTAACAAGGCAGTCTCGACGAAAAATCCTTGTTTTAAATTTAGCCATAGGTAGTTGTGTTTCGTCTTCGGCGGGAAATGCGAGATGTGACCACGTGACATTTTGGGGAGCAGGGATGGCGCTGTGAGAGCGCTCACCTCCCACCAATGTGGCCTGGGTTCGATTCCGGCTCAGTGCCATATGTGGGTTGGGTTTGTTGTTGGTTCTTGCCTTGCTCTGAGGGTTTTTCTCCGGGTTCTCTGGTTTTCCTCCTTCTACAAAACCAACATCTCCAAATTCCAATTCGACCAGGATAGATGACCCGCATGAAAACCAGCTAAGGCTGATGTGGCTTCCTCTCTAAATGAAGTAATTAATTAATTAATTTATGCACATTTTCAGTTCTTGAATAACTATCGCAAGTCCCAGGCGTAGAGAGTCGCGCGCTTGCTGTGAAATTGCACACAATTTTCATCAAAAAGAAAACTTCTACTTTCCCCATCACCGTACATTTGCCTGAAAGGAACCCACATGGAACCCAAGGGGAAAGCGACGGGTTTGAAATAGCGGAACGCGCAGAGAACGTGCCGCTGATGAAAGCTTTCATAGCTGGTGACGGTTTGTTCTGAACCAGAATAAAAACATTAACAAAGTCAGGTTTTTTATTAGCTTTGAACTTTTATAAAATTTGTTTATTAAGTCCATTGATGGCTCTCGTTTGTACAAGGTGATCCACTCTTTTTTACACCTGGCGCCTATTTTATGAACCTCCTATTGCCGTGAAAGTTTTCGTAGAGCCCTAAACCTCTACGCGCTCGTCACTGATCACTTTGTACCTCTTCTCTTGCGTGGACATATACAACGGTGGCATGTTACCATGGTTACCAACCGTTTTGGTTTTTTTGTAGCATCTTCATTTTGCATCTTCTATACGCATCTAGTACGTTGTAAAATATTGAATGGTTAA